CAACCAACCAACCTATCTCCCTTTAGACTTGTGATGACATTTTTAAAGGTTGAGAAAACAACCTTCCACCTCTCAGCCACAGGGGAAAAAGAAGTTACTTGCAAAACCTGCAGTCCTAAGGAGTTGGTAGGATTTGTAAATGATTCGAAGTCGATATATGACAAATCATTACACTTGGAAATAAGCAGTCTGCTCAGTGCAGAGAGAATGTTTAGCTTCTTAGCAAACCAATCTTTTTAGCTGTGGATGCTGTTCCACAGCTAGACTATTTTTATAACAAGCTAAGTTAGTTGATGTCACTTTAGAGGTATCTTAATGTGTTATATCCTTGGTTTGCACACCGAACAGTAGAACAGATAACAATTTTCCTTTAAACACAAGTCTACAGCAGACCTTCATGCTGGTTTTGAAGCTGGGCTGCATCTACCCCAGTTCTTCAGAAGAAGTGCTGGGTTTTTTTTTTTTCCAGAAGTATTTGTTGTAATGTGGTGCTGAAATTGCTGCAAGCTCAGAAACCAGCTCACCAGAATCCAACAATGCTGCAGAAAATCAACCACAAACAGGTCTACAATGATAGCATACAGAGTGAAAATTAATATGTGTTCCATAAATAATTGCCTTCATGCCTCATTGAAAATTCAGTAGTTAAACATTTCTGTCTTGTGAGTAATTTCCTATTCACAGTTTGTGGGAAGGCATAAATGTAAAGAAAACAGGTTTGGCGTCCTTTTGTTTTTTTTTAATTTTGTTTTGTTTTTCAGTCTGCTAATTTCAATTCACAAACACCATAGGAACCTGCAATTCCAATTTTCTTTTCACAGTATTAATGAAAACTGGGCACTGAAAATAGTTAGGTTTTTCCCCCTCTAAATCTTAAACCACTTAGAAATACAGTCAAGAATAATAACTTTCTAATCCATTATTACACAATGTAAAACTGTGCTCAATTGCTATTATTTCATTCAAAGATTTTCATAAGTGGTAGAAGAGGCTTTTAGAACTCAGTTTTTTTTTAAGCTGGTCTGTGAGGCAGTACAAAAACGCTGGTTGTGTGCTGTTGAGAGGAAGAGCTGTGCATCAGAGTTGTTTTAAGAGGGAATCCTTGCACCACAAGATGAGAATCATTTCCTCTCACTGTTATGGAAAGGTTTGAGCATATTTACTGTCTTTATGATTTTGTCTTGTTCCTAATCAAACCAACCTCAATTTATTGTTTTAATAAATAGATAGTTTCAGGGTTTGGGCTTTGAGTATATTTTTGAGACAACTGTTTACTCCTAAAAATCAGAGTAATATTTTTATATCATTTTATCTTAACAAACTCTAATAAGGTATTTCAGTTTTCATTTACAGTAAGATGTCGAAGATGAAGTTAATGTCTTTTTCATGCTGCAGACACTAAGAGTGACTGCAGCTGAGTAGCAGATGGGGTTACCTGCAGGCACACCTCTGCTGCTGTGCCAGGAGCCAATGGCTCTGCCTGGTCCAGCTACCAAGATGCTGGGAAGAAAACTGCATCCAGTGTTTCCCAAAGAGTTGGGAAGCAAAGAGCACAATTTCTGTAAATTTATAATCTTCATTTGCTCTCCACTGACATCATCTGCCATCCCTTGCAATCGTTCCTGTCTTGCAGGGGAAAAAAATATAGGTAAATTCCCCTTGGAATTGACTCCAGTCTTAGTCAAACAAAGATACTGCTTAAATAGAAGGCAGCTGTTTCAGCAATGTTATGGATGTGGGTTTATTTATTTATATAGATTTCAGAAGAAATTAAGGCTGGCTTTTTCCAGTGGCCCTTTCCCCCTATCTCAGAATAGGACTCTTGCTTTGGTGTGTACTCCATTAGCTGTTCCTATCTAACATGCTCACAGACAAACCTATATACTTTGTAAAACTTCTCTATTTCCTCCTTCATTTGTCTGGAGAGGCCCTACTAGGTTAAAAGCATATTTTAATGTAAATGGAACAAAAATAGCAAGTCCTTTTCCTTACTGAATTGTTCCTTTTCCAGAAGTCCAAACCAATGCAACAACAGATGCTTTGAAATGTTATAAATTTAAATAACATCAGTGTAGTGGTTGAATATTTCTCAGACAGATGGGGTAAATGAGACAATTGTGAAAACATTCTTAAAATAAAAGGAAGCCATCAGATGAGAGGTAGGAATTTAGGTAACATTGAAAAATATACCTTAGATATTTCTTTTAGGTTGCAATATTAGAATGTTTTCCTCTGAGCAAGCTGTTAACTGTCATTTAGTAGACATTAATTGTAAAGCTAGTTGACAGTATTTGGCCCAAATGTATGTATCTTAAAGAGAAAGAGCAGCTGTTAATCCATCAGCTATTGACAGTGTATTCAGTGGCTTCTATTATTCCTCAGACAGAAATTAATTTCCTGAAATCACATACAGTAAGATAAGACTCTGTCTCATTTTCACTCACTGTGGAAATACTCAGTCTTTGTTCTGCACACAATGCATTGTCTCTTGTAAAACAGTAAATGACACCCTAGGTGTAAAAGAATTTCCATTTTCTACAATAGCTACAATGAACAAACAGGATCTAAACCAGTTGCTGACTACTTTGGAACAGGGTACCTTTCTTAGTAGGGTGGCATCTGCCCTGAAATGACAAAAACATCTTAAAGCCTTCAAGATCTCTTGTGTCACCATAGAAAGTACCAATTACACTAACTCATAACCAGTAAGAACTTTCAGAAGGATACAAAAGGTAGTTAAAATACTATTTGTTATGGAAGGTTTTTTTTTTTTAATTTTACAGTTTTGCCTTCATTCTTTTCAGCTGAACAAAATGTCAGCTTCTTTAAATCTGTTTGATTTGTTTGAAATAATTGCCAGGAGGAAGTGTTTCAGCAGTAAGTACACAGATCACCAATAAGTAAATGATGAGTAATATCAGAGAAGAGAAGATAAGGAACTTATTCTTTTGGGGAGTTGTGGTTTTTTGCTGCATTTTGTTGTTCATAGGCCAGTTGTAGATGTCTGTAGCTGGTAGCTTCTTTCAATTCTGGTAGTTCAAACTTGTTGCAATTTTTTGACCAGTGTTGATATTTTGACTAGCATTACCTTTAATGTAGCATTCTCAAAATCATCATTGTCCTATTATGTATTTACAGTACTTTAAAAAGTGACTATGCACCACAATGTGCTTTTGTGGACTTTGAGCAGGACACTTTTCTAACACACCTCAGTACAATGCTACCAGTAGGCACACCCTGAACATTATGAATATATTGTTAAGCTAGCATTTAGAACTTCTAGTTAGCGTCTATATTTTACAGATTGAATTTTTAGCCATGGCTTTCCTGAGCTCAGCCAAGGCTGGCAGTGCTGAGGATACACAGCCTCACGGAAGTTTGGAAATGCTGGTATAATCAGAGGAACACTGCATAAACCCAGATAACGTCATTTCTGTCCAACACTTGTTAGGTTAGAGAGGATCCATCTCAGCTATCACCACCTTTAAGTGATTCTATCCAAAGATCTACCTCCCCTCCTGCTGCAAAATTCAACAAAGAAAGATTGTGGAAAACATAAAAGCACTGTGTGTGCTGAGAGCAGTCAAACTAAAAATTCCTCCTGGAATTAGGGTTTCATTCCTCATGGCTGTGCAAGGGGACAAAATATGCCAGACAACACAATAGTTCCTATCAAGTGTGAAGACATAGGTCAGCTCTATTCATATCACAGCTGAAAAGACCAGAGTCTGGCCTCAGAGGTGGGTTCTTAGGAGGCTGAGTCCTTGCTCTGCGCAATTTGAGAGGTTTTCTTGGGGCATAAAGCAATCTTTAAAGGAACATCTGATAATGGCATCAATGATGAAAAGACGGAATGGGAGAAGTGAGTGAAAAAGTGCTCTAAAGTGTAGCCAAGGAGGACTCTGGATTAGAAAATAGGAGGTAGGGTTGGATATGTCTCTAAAAGCACTAAGAGTAAATATAATTAATTTTAAAAAGAAAAGAAAATATTAAAAGGAAAGGAGAAACTGAGAACCTTGGTGAGGGAAGTGTACAGGAGTGCTGAGGATACCTTATTTGTAATGAGTTTATTGGCTGCTATCAGCCATTTTCTATTTTTTTTTCCCCTTCATTCTGCCTTATCAGTACTGCCTTCTCAATAAATAGTATGGTGTCACTTTTTGTTCCTTACAGATAGAGAGGCAGAGAGAGGGAGAAAGGAATAAAAGGAGAGGGAAATCCTTTTCTCTGAGATGTTCATGTCCCTGCATTTAAATTGTGGCACACCTGTTATCTCAGATTATTTAGGCATTATTTGCTTAACAACACACTGGGACAAATTATTCCTTTGAAAGCTAGAACAAGATGTTCTTTGCTGTCCTTTTCCTTGTTTAAAAGCCCAAAAAAGGGATGGGCTGCTACCCTAACTGGTTTTGGACTAGTAGAGGGGGGGTACTAATACGTTGTGAAGGCTGACCTAGAACAGAGACTAGATGGAGCTAAAGAATAGAGTAGGGATTTATTAGGAGGTCTCAATAGATCCACCTTGAGCAACAGAACCCAAAATGGCCAATAAAATAAATGGACCACAAGTCATGGGGTCTCACACTTTTATAAGTTTTGCTCCATTAGCATATTGGAGCTAATTGTCCAATTACAGCTTTAGCTTTAGCTGAGGTCCCATCCTTGTTTTCGCTCTTCATTCCACCCTTGTTTATGCTCTTGGGCCTGAGATCTGGATCGGCTGTCCTTGGTCCCCAGCTAGAGAAGGAATGGTTTTGTCTACCTGCTCTGTGAAAAGAGCTTACTGTCCCCTAACATGAAGCCTAGACTTACACACTAAAGCAGAACAGAATCTGAACTATATAAAAGCTAAAACCTGAGGCATCAGTGCATCACTAGGTTGTCCTGGCCCAGGGGGTGCAGCTAGTAGGACATGTGACTGTAGCAGCAGGCATGACTGACCCCTCGATGTGCAAACTCAAGGATAACCTCTCCTTTCTTTCATTATCTACCCACAGCAAACCCCACCAGGGCAGGAGGAGGAAGGGAGTACCCCGGCTCGTCCGAGGTGATCCGTGAATCCAGCAGCACGACGGGCATGGTGGTTGGGATCGTGGCGGCGGCGGCGCTGTGCATCCTCATCCTCCTGTATGCCATGTACAAGTACAGGAATCGAGACGAAGGGTCCTACCACGTGGATGAGAGTCGAAACTACATCAGTAACTCAGCACAATCCAACGGGGCTGTGATCAAGGAGAAACAGCCCAACAGCGCTAAAAGTTCCAACAAAAACAAGAAAAATAAGGATAAGGAGTACTATGTCTGATCTCAACATCTAAAAGAACGCTTGTATAGAAATAGTCTTCATTTTATCTGAGACATAATACAAACTTATTTACTTTACTTTTTATGAAGCACATTCAAAAACAAACAAACAGAAAAGACAGGGAATGCAATCAGAAAGGAAAGACTGTTTTTAAAAACAAGCATTTCATGCTCTTGTTTTTCAGAAACAGGAGCTGATAAATTCCCTAACATCCACAGTGTTTTCATTTACTCTGCCTGTCTTTATGTTGCTGGAACGTTTCTGAAAGACAATGATGACACCACGCACTCATAAAGCAAGGAGTATTACTACAACATCGAGGCACAATATGAAAAAAAAATCAAATTAAAAAAAAACAAAACAGGAAAAAAAAAAAGAAAAAAGAAGCTACCTATGATTCTGGATTTAGCCAAAGTGCTAGCGCTTTCTTGAGAAGTAAGTTAGTCTTATTGTCAGAGAAGACTGTCATTATATATGGTGACTCAACAAGCAAACATAAACGAGTTTGCCGTCTGGTGCAGTGAAGCAGTGATTGGAAACTTGCATTTTGAAACAAAGTGCTGGCTTTTCTGAAGACTTATGTAGAAATACTTTCAAAAAGCCCCTTTCTGGTTGTGAGGAAAATAGTATGGAGGCCTTATTTTCAAAAACAAAAACAAAAATCTGGAATATAAGGCACATTTCCACAAAAATATAAAAAAAAAAAAAAGAAAAAAAAGAATAACAAGAGGGCATAGATGCAATCATTGGGAAATTTTCATGCACGCTTAATATGTTATTACATATGTTTATATAAAAACACATCTATATGTGCTTTCTGGACTGTGATAAGTGATGTTTTATAGCCTGTTGTATAGAAAATGCAAACTATATCTGCTCTTCAGCCATTTTTGGTAAACTCAATGTTATAAGTGTTGCTAGGTATAGAGAGTTTTATGACATCTGGAGCAACAGACATTCTTCAGTTTTTTTGCAGCCATTATAAATTGTCCCAGACTTTTTCCCCTTTTCTTTTTTTTTTTAATTTTTAATTTACAGTGTAGTGGTTATACAAAGGGGGATGTGTATGAATGTATATAAGAGTCAGCTAATTTTTTTCTTACCTGTACAGCTCTATTATGTTGCAATTAAGTTTCAGTAGTTTGTATGAAAGAAGTGGACTAGAAAGCAAAAATATATCTCTACTGTAATTTGTCTTCTCCCTCCTATCCCCATCTCTTGCTCCTGATATGCATCAATGAAGTTGATCAGAATGGCCAATTTTCCTAGAAATATACATTCATTAATTAGCTAAATATTTAGTGACTTAAACTGGCCTTTGGCTTCCAGTCAAAGCTTCACTATTGGAGAGCATGGTTTGCCTTACAGAAACCTTGTTCTTAGAAATTACGAGAATGATGAGTTTCTTGAGAATCTTAGGAAGTATCATATAGTGTTTATCTGGCATTCATATGAAGAACAGCTACTACAGCACTGGGTGATAAAAGATCTAAAAATACCCATTGTAATTATCCAGGCTGATTCTATTGCAGAATTTATCCCTTTCTCCAAAAAGGAAATACTCTTGAGGTGCACGATAGTATTTTTCAATGGTGGGCATTTTGACATATGAAAAAGTATTTTTAGCTAAGTTGATTGTGTAGTATTGCAAGACATCATAACCAGACAGATATAAGTTCATTATGTTTTAAAGTGACACAGCTTATCTTGCATATATAAAACATTAATGCATTTTAGTTAAACACATGAAATGTAATGCTGTAATTTACACGTTAAGTTTGGAATTTTTTTCTAGTAATATTTCATTAGTTTCACAGCAATAAATCATAGCATAACATTTTATTTACACAGAAGTTCAAAGGGAATATGACAGAAAGAGGGTAGTTCAATAGAAATCAACCAAATCATCAGAAGGCCTCCTGGGAGGGATATAGATATTCACATTTTACAGACAGGAAGGAGAAATTTAAAATTAGCTTTAAACAGCAGACACAAAACATTTTGTTGTGTGTTACTCACTGTAGCTGATGAAATAAAGTTGGGAACTGGTACAGCTATCTATCTGGGAGTCAGAGCACTTTAAAAATACATGTAGCTGACATGAAAACACCTCTTGAAGTTTGCCAACCACATCAAGGTGTGCCATGTTGCATTTGTGAAATAACTTTTTATTTTCATTAGCAGTTACACAAAAAAAACGAAGAAAAAAAAAAGACACAAAAACCACAAAATCCATCTGATGTTCATTTCTTAGATTGTTGTTCACCTGTGGCACTCATCATTTCTCCCACCTTTACAAGACAGCTGTACTCAGGGAATGGCAGGGGCAAGGGTGACTGGAGGTCATTGCAGGAAGCAAGAGACTTCAGCTGGAGGGGGGAAAGCAGTTGAAAGCCAGGTGGTGTTCGGATTTCAGTGCTTGAAGATGCCTAGAAGAACAAGAATAAACTGTTGACAGGAGACTGGGCATGACAGAATATGATTTGGGTGAGATGAAATGGTCTTTTCTGCTTGGTATTGATTGCATTAATGAAATAGCGTTGTCAGGCCAACTTCCAGGCAGTTTGGTAGATCAATCTTTAACTAAATCCATACATCAAGGAAAAAAAAAAAAAGATCTACTACTATTAAAATAAGAAATCACAATTTTAACACTGTTTCTGAAGGTTCTCCTTTTTCCTCTTTAATTTCATAATTTAACAAAAAAAATTATGGATGTATCAGAAATGCCAGCAAGTGGATTTAAAATTCTTTTTTGTTTAAAAGCAGCAGCAACAACAAACAAACAGACATAAACCAACTACCTAACATAAAATTGGATCCTTTCTCTATAATAACCTAATTTGTTTGACTGAGATGGCTTCATTTCTATGACTGTATTGTGTTGCCTTTTTTAACAAAACACTAAATAACGTGTGAAACTTTCAACCCTAAGACATCAAAGAGAGGCCCAATGCCCCTAACCTTATAGTGCTTTCTGTGATAGATATTTACAATTTTTTTATTTGTTGCAAGGCCAATTTATTCATTATTGGAAATGCTAAGCAAGTGGAATTTACTGTTTTGTTAATAAAAATGTTTCTTAATACAAATGCTGGCTTGTTTCTTGTCTTGCTCTCTTAGATTCTGAGTACCTGTTCATCCTGAGGCTGTGAAAAAAATTGGTAAACTGGTATGAAGTTACAGACATTCATGTCAGGGAAAAGTAACCTCCGAGCTCTTCATACAATTCAGTAAAAACCTTCAAGTCTTGTGTTCAACTGGCCCAGTTAGAAAAGTATTAATAAGATCAATGAATTAGTTTTCCACAGACTTGCTGCATTTGAAATTTCCAAGTATTTTTTTAATCAAAAAAATAAAAGTTGATGTTCTGTTCCCCATCTGTATTAAAAAGAACTCTCTTTTTTGCCACTTTTTGATTTTTGTAGTGGAAATAAGGTGGAGGAGGGTAAGATAATAGGATGAAAAGTTAAAACATTTGTTAAAAGTGAAAACATTTTCTCTTGTCTAGAAGATTTTAAAATTAATGGGAAAATGAATGTATTTCAGGTCCTTAAAAACATTTCTAGATAATAATTACAAAATTTCAACCGGAGCTAATCCATTACATAAGTGCTTTCCTACTTAGCATGGCATTTAAATTCATGGGCAACTTCAAGCAAACATCTAATCCTATTGATTTAAGCAAGTGTCTAAACTTGCCTAAATGTACTGCTGAATGGGGATGGAGTTAAGCTTTTGGATCTAAGCTGCAAATAGAATTTAATTTTGTATCATCTTAAATCACATCAGCAGCTTTTAGACTTCAGTGAGATTTATTCATCTGCTTAATTACGTATAGACTGAAGTATTTTAGATAATTTAAGCTCAGGAATATCTGGAGAAAAACAGTCCCTATCTTCCATTGGTATAAAACATTTTGAAAGTTCTAAACTGCTTTATACTGAGATTAGGTCTTGTGAGTGTACTTAAATAAATACTGAATATTCCATTTAGGAAATTGTTTTATACATATTTCAAGGAGATATAACAATAGTGATTTTTGTTCTGCTACTACTACTACAAAAAAAAAAAAAAGAAAAAAGTAAAAAAAAAACCAAAGCCAAAAACAACTCACATTTAATTATTTTAAATTCTACTATGTAGTTGTTCTTTTTTTTTTTTTTTTTTTTAATATTTATACTGTGTGCTCCCTTTTACTGAAATCCTAATGGCCTCTCACTACCTGCATCATTCATCATTATTTGGCCACTCTAAGTGGTGGCCTCTATCATCAAATATCACTGTGGTCAAGCAGCTAAAAAACCTTTACAAGATGATGAAAAAAGAGAAAAAACGAAACACTGCCCCCAAATGTGACTTATAATAAGGGAAAAAAAGCTGACATAGGCTGTGAATGGCAGCTGTGTTTGTTAATTCCTCCTATGTGACTTCTTTATAGTTCAATGAAACAGTTTTAAATTGGGGTTCTGGATCTGATTTTCATTTTGATTGTAGAAATTTGCTTTTAAGTTCAGTACAGGCCTGTTCAGAGGTGCTTAGAACTATTTTGCTGGGTCAGGCACCCTTGTCAGTATAATTTTATTTGGAATGCACGCTATGTGGTTATTTTAAAACCCCTACTTTTTTGAAGTCTGTAAGTATTTCAGTGTTAAAATGTTTCTGTCTCTCATGGGAGTGGGGATAAAGAGAAGTCCATACTGCATTTAATTCAATTTACAAATTGATAAATGCTTGGGAATGATAAAACTGCTTGCCTGCCAGCCTCTGATTCATCTGGATGGACTGCCACTGATTTGGTTGTCACTTCATGAAACCAGAAACATCCCCCACAGATTAAGCTTAGAAGTAGAAATTCCAGAAAAGATACAGATGAGCTCAGTTTTGTCAGACACAGGGCTGGAACTCAACCAGTCCTTTACCTGCTTACTTTGGAGGTTCCTTCCTGCTGAAGCTTTTTGACAGACTTCAGCCACCAACTCTAACTTCTGTCAGAGAAAGTCTGGCCCCGTGCTTTTTTTTTCTCAGTCACTTGCTGCTACACAAATATCTTAATTTTACAGAATCATAGAATAAGCTGAGTTGGAAGAGACCCATCAGGACCATCAAGTCCAGCTCCCAGCCCTGCACAGGACACCCCAAGAATCACACCAAGTGCCTGAGAGCTGTGTCCAAATGCTTCTTGAACTCTGTCAGGCTTGGTGCAGTGACCACTGCCCTGGGAACCTGTTCCAGTGCCCCACCACCCTCTGGGTGAAAAACCTTTTCCTGATATCCAGACTAAACCTCCCCTGACACAGCTTCAGGCCATTTCCTTGGATCAGTTCTCTGGTCATCAAGAGAAGAGATCAGATTCTACCCCTCTGCTTCCCCTCACGAGGAAGCTTTAGATCACTGTGCTCAGAACAAACAGATTTCCATATGACATTGCTCCTCCAGTTGGACTTGACTGTGGTAGACAATCTTGAAAAAACTGAGGGTATTTTAAAGAAGAAAAAAGGTAGAGTTATTTCAAAGGATGTGGGATTTTCAGTGAGTAAATTGCCTTTAAGAACAGTAATTTCATGCTGGCATACACTTGAGAGATTTAAAAATCCAGGTCAGTAATCCTCAAAAACATCCTTTTGGTAAACAATAAAGGCATGAGCTCGTTTGTCAGCAAGCATAGGGACCAACAGCAAGGCTATCAAAATGGGAATGTGTCAGTCTGGTTGCAGGAAATAACACAGGGAAATGGAATTTGGGCAGCTAAAAATAACTGTTGGCACGCTGGCTGGACTCTTATGAGTGAGCCTAACTACAAGCCAGTAAGCATTTATTGGATGATAAACAGCAAAATACTTCTATTATAGTCAGAGTTTGGGATGCAGCTGATGGAACAGAGGCACAGGCTGTGAGGCTGCATTGGCTTTTCCAGGACCAGCAGCCAGATTGCAGTTCAGGTGTCCTCCAAGCTGGGGAGCTGGGCAGGCTTCACACAAACCACCTGCTGCATGACAGCTGATCAGCTGTTTCCATGAAACCTCCATTTTCCCTTTGAAATTGAGATGATACATTTTCTAGGAATAGTACAGCAGCTTGCTCTGTGGAGTGGCTCCCAAAAGATGTTCCACCACAGCGAGCATCATCTCAAAGAGAAGCTGTGGCTGCAGGTCCAGGTGAGAAACTTCCACTCTTTTCAGGATTGCCTTGGCCTCGGCACCCTCTCAGGATGGGCAGGTGTGAGGAGGATGGGACGTGAGAGCTGCAGGCACTGCTCTTGTGTGGCTACAGAAAGAGGGGGGGGGAAATTCAGTCATGAGGGTCTCACAACCTGGACTGCTTGGGGAACTTGCCCCAGGGCTCGTGGTTTGGCAAAGCAAGAGAAGGCACAGGTTTTCCTTAGTAATTAAATGCCACAAAGGAAAAAAATGTTTCTCAAAAAAGGTGGCGGCATAGACAGTTCAGGAATTTCATTAGGAGTTACTTCCGTGTTCCTTTAGCACTTTGCCTTCCTGTGCTTCGCACTAGAGAGGAGAAGCTCAGGCCTCCTGTGCCTGGGGAAGGAGACTAGGCAGAGAAAACCTTCCATAGGCATTAAACTCACCCCAAAACTGTATGGGATCCCTGACTTTCTAGGACATCAGGCCTCAAAGGTTTGGACCTGAAAATTGCTTCCTGATGAGATCCAGCAACAGACTTCATTAAACCATAGGGACAGAGACAAGTTTCAGCAGAAGACCTAAAACTCTTAAAGAAAACAATAATGCAGACACACACCCCTGGGAAATCTTACCCCATCTGCCACTGTCTTCTAATCAGCCTTTCAGGTGGTTTAATTCCTTGCTGATTACACCTGGAGAGGGAGCAGGTTTGTTACGTCAGCCCACCTGGCAAGAAGGGCTGTCCTGACAGCAAGCACAGAGCTCACTGTAGTTACCAGACCCTTCACTCTACCTGTGAGCTAGTTCTACAAAGGTTTTCCTTTAGATTCAGGATTGCTGGCAGCCAATACAGAGATGGATATTTAGTCACTTATATTTGATTTATGGGCAAGTCCAGGGAAAAGGAAAAGAATATCATCCAGTGAGAGAAATGAAGAAAAAACCCCAAAACCCAAGCAGGGCTCATCTCATGCTTACCAGCAAATCTCCATATTTCAAGCAGAGGAATTTTAGGTAATTAATTTAAGTCTTGGTGTGTTGCTGGGTGGTGCTGGGGAAAAGCAAGTTTGTGCTCAGTTTTCCTTAAGGCTAAATTTGTTTGGAAGCTCATTTATACCTGTCTTCAGGCTCTTTTTAGGGAAGTCTTTCAAAATGTTGATAGTACAAGTATAACAGTCATCACCTACAGCAGTCTCTCATCTATTTTAAGAGCTTTGTCTAAATATGGGTTGCTGGATTTGACTCATAGGTTACATCTGCCCTAGCAAGCATAGCCCAGTAAGAATAAATTTGTAGGTCATAGTATCTGATACTGTGGACCTGATGTCCATGTCATATTTCAGGATTTTCTTTGAACCCGTTGTAGTCTGGCCACACAGACTATCAGTTAGTGCTTAGGTTTGTTTAATTCTTTGTTTAATTAATGCATTTAATTTAATCTGCAAAGTGTCTAGTTCTTGGTGCAGAGTGCTCTGTGAAGCTAATTGTAGGGAGTGGGAACAGCTGAGTTGGTTCAGAATTGTACACCTGATCTTAAATAAAACTTCGGTGTTGAAAACATCTTTTGGCCATTGGTATACTCCAGTGTGCTTGTAACAACTCACTGCAAGAAAAAAAAAAGTAGGTTATTTTTAGTACCCATCCTCAAATGACAATTGCTGTTAGCCATAAAGGCCTCCCCTGTATTTTCACAAGACTCAGCATCTTTAATTCTGGCCCTCATCTTCCTCTTTAACCACCGCACTCCTGCACAGCATCCTCTTAACCCTTCTCTTCAAACCTAAAAATAATCAGTTTAAAAGGCTTGTTTCCTTTGAATAGGTTAAATATGGAAGTATTTTTAGGTAGGCACTGTCTGAGGGAGCCATGTCACCAACACCGAGATCAGCAATTATGCAATTGTAACTTGGAAGAGTATTGTGGAAGCAAACCTGGAGCTGCTGGAATGG